TCAACCAGAGATAGCCATGAATGAACAGTCATCAGGAGTCATCAAGGGGGATGGAGAATACAAAAGCAGAGACTTGAGATTAACAAAGAGTCCCACCCATCCCTCCTTCTCTTCCTCCCTGTCCTTCCCCATCTTGCTCCCTGAGAGGAGTCCCCATTCCCGTCCCCCAGGAAGGGTCCCCAAGACCACCAAGGACCAAAGGCATACCAGCAGCCTGTCCCATGCACCACACTGGAGGGGGGGGTGGCTTCGGCATCCCACCTCCAGACTGTTGACACCTAAGAGAAAGAGCCTCAGAGTGGAGCCTGCATCCTGACCAGATGTACTTTGACTCTGACAGCCCTAGGATTGATAGATATAGAATTGTTTGATTGTTTGTATTGTTGCTTTTTTGTTATCACTCTGTAACAATAAATTCGCCTATTATCAACTGGCAGGTGTTGTGGTCGATCTGAGGGTTGTGCTCGCCGAGAACAAAGGTATAGGGGCCAGGTCCAAATCCAGTGCCAACACTATCTGACAGGAAGAACCTTTGGGCCAAATAAGGGCAAGCAGTCTGGTAGGGGGACCAATAGGAGTAGCCTGAGACAACTTTTGGGGACTAGAGCTGCAACATGGAGATGGAGCAACTAATGGGGCTGTTGGACAAACAGCAGGCTACCACCAATGAACAATATAAGTGGCAGTATGGCCAGGCTCAGAAGAGAGAGACCAGGAAGGAGGAGATAATGCATAGGCAGTTGCAGCAGACTGAAACCTTACAGACTCTAGTAGTTGTAACTGCCTTCTTGTTTTCTAATATACTCACCCAAGGTACAGAGAGCCTCAGGTTGGGGACTGCCATGTATGTTCCAGAGCACATGACCAAAGATGAGCCTAAGGCATTTATAGAAGCCTTTGAGAGGGCAGCCCTTCCTGCTCAAGGGGATAAATAAATATGGGCATTGCGGCTGGAGATGTTACTGGTACAGGAAGCTCAAGAAGCCTATTGGGCATTGCCTTGAGCAGAGATGAGAGAGTACAAGAATGATAAAGGAAGCCATTCTGAGATGCTTAGAGGTTTCTGAAGGGACCCACAGGCAGGGGGTTGGAGCCAAGAAATAACCAGGGATCTTTACGCCTCTCAGGTTGGACCTTTGGAGCCAAGAAAGGACCAGGGATCTTTACGCCTCTCAGGTTGGACCAGTACCTAGACAAGGCAGCCAAGTGGCTCCTTCCTGCAGAAAAATCACCTGACGAGATTCTGGGACAAACTGTCTTGGAATAGTTTACATGAGATCTGGAACAGTAAATCAGGGATTGGGTGAGGCACCATCATCTCCAAACCCTCAACAAAGCAGTGAGACTGGCTGAGGTTTTTTGTGGCAGCCAAAAAACAGGCCTAGCATGAGCAAAAGCATGGAACAAAGGAAGCCAGGGGAAGGCCGAGGCTCAGCAAGAGAGCAAAGAGGCCCCAAGAGAAAAGTCAACTGTGCCTGGCAACAGTGGATAGGCTTGTTTCCAGTGCAGGCATTAAGCTACCATTGGGGTGGCAAGCCAAGATTTATCACAGAGAGTCCAGTGGTGACTTCAAGCAGTAAAATAGAGAACTCCAGGCTGGAAGATATGGAGTACAGCTGTGAGGCTATAATGTGTAAAGCAGTGGGTAGAACACACATTCCACAGTTGATAGGGAATGTGGAAGTAAAAGGGAAAGCAGTGACGGCTCTGGTAGACTCAGACTGCAAGCAGACACTCATTAGACAAGGACTGGTGCCTGAAACAAGAGGAAAGAAAGTCAAACCTCATATCCTGGTTTTCCAACACAGGGAGGCAAATAAATATACCAGCATTCCTGTGCAACTGATGGTAGCATGGCATATACATACTCTGCAAGTGTGTGTGGCCTCTAGACAGCTTTATCCAGTGTTGTTGGAGTGTGTAGAAGAGTATGGGGAGTGGGAGGAGGAAAACCTACGCTCGCTCCTTTCCCCTTAGTATCTAGAAGTCAAGCAGCCCCAACAATAAAGGGGCAAGACACAGGAGTGGTTGAAACATGGCAACTGCAGAGCCTGCTCAGAGGCAGCAAACAGAAGAAGGCCCTAGACAGGTCTGGGAGCGTGGAAAGGACTAAACCCTTACCTCCAGAGCAGTCTCAAGTGGAGGGGAGAAGTATCCCAGCAGGGAAAGCCTGTGTTGCAGAGAGCCCCAGGAGAACACAGAGATGGTCTGGTCCCCTTAAGGTTCCCACTGGGAAACAAAAAACGCATGGGAAGGGAAAGCCCTATTTGGAAATGCTAAGACGGGGCTGGAACAGCCCAGATTGTTTATAACCTCAGGGGAGGAGTTACTTAATATTAATTCAGCCCAGGTGTCACCCCTCAATACAGGACAGATGAGCTATAGCAGGGGACTAGAAACCATCATTGACAGGCTGAGAATGCAAGGCGGAGAGCCCAAAAGGACATAACCAGTAGTGAGAGGGAAAACCCTGCACCAGAGAGCAATGGAGTCCAGGGGTGAGGAACACCCCTGACCATATTTTTGCATTTTTGTTTCTAATGGACTCCAGAAGCTTCCTGGGAGTCATCCAGGAAGCTACTGAGAGCCGCTCCTAGCTGTGACACTTGAACAGGAGAGCCTGTACTTAAATCTGGAGGACTGTGACAGGAGTGGTGGGGTTGAAGGAGCCCCCTGTAAGGACTGTGAGGTTCCTTTACATGCCATAACTGATTATTTTGGATTACTGGACACAGCCCTGCCAGTGGAGCCGGTTCTTTCCTTCTCAGGGAGAGAATTCTCCAATTATTACCATCAAGTCATGGCAGACGAGTGCCCCAAGAAGGTAGCATACCTCTTTAGGGGTGCACAGTACTGGCTGAGCCATATACAAAGGGACTCACCTACAGGGTGCAGTTGGCCCTGGGGTTCCCCAAATTATTGACAAAGATGCTATGGGAGAATGGGGCTGAAGCTCAGCATGAATGAGGGTTAGTGGGGCAGCAGGCTGCAGCTGCTTATGGGGAAGAGACCCAAAAAGAGAAGGAATCTACTAGGGCTGTGCAAAGCTTCAGTAGCCGATTCAATTAGGAGGAGATTCAGCCTGATTCGGCGGTCGAATCTCCGAATACAAATCGAATTGGGAGACCAATGAAAAGGTCCAAATTGAATCGGAAGCCTCCTAATTGATTTGGAAAAGATTCATGCCACTTCGGAGATTCAGCCATAGACTAAACAGACAGCAGTCCTCACCACGCTGGACACAGCTGCCTCCAACCGGTAAGTCTGTTGTGGTGGGTGGAGTGGGGAGGGAAGGGGTGTTGGGGAGGCAGATCAATGCCCCCACAGCAAGAGAGAAATTGAGACTGGGGCTGGGACAAGCTGCCCAGCTGGGGGGGGTGGCGTGTTACTCAGGGAGGGAGGCATGGGGGCACAGGATGAGGGCGCAGCAGCGCCGGG